GTAGTCTTAGAGTTGTTGTTTTGTTGTCTTTTGCTGTTGTTGTTAATTGTTAATAGCATATAACAACATCATTCTAATTTCCACCTAATATATGTGTCATACAGTGATTATGTAGTCTTTCTTGTAAATATTAACTGTAAATATTATCTAGTTTTTCAGTGTATATCTCCTCCCAGTGTAGTATACACTAGAACAAATGTTTCCCTCAACAAAAGACCGACCACTACCTGAGAATCAGACAAATGTAGTCTATCAAATTAATTGTTCAGTTTGCTCGTGGAGTTACGTTGGCGAGACAGGCGGGGCCTTTATAACAGGAAAAGAGCACAAGCGAAACGTGAAAAAATGCAAGAGTGGCTAGCTCTAATATCGCGAACCATGCATGGGCAAACGACCACAGAATTGATTTTAAAAACGGAAAATTAATTGACAAGTGAAGCTATCGACACAGATCAACATTAGAGGCTTGGCACACTGCATAGTCACGAAAGACGCCGATAACAACTCAAAACATTTGCCAGAATATCGCTTTTTGCTCAAAAAACTTTAAATTCTGCACAATATATAATTAGTCACCAATCTTTTATGTAGGCGGAACTGTCAGTAATTGTCTTTTGTGTCAGTAAATGTAATTGTAAACCGCTATTGTATAGCACTATTCACTTTGTATCATATCTTATATCACTAGCACATCATTAATGAATTAATCTAGTCCTGCCAAGACTGGCAGTCGAAAGCTTGTAATAAATAAATAAATCTTTTTAACCAGAGAACATTTACACAATTAATTTAATATAATACTGTTTTAGGAGTATTTCATTAAAGCATTATTAATTTAAGATAATATTGATGCATTATTGGTAGGGTAAAGCTAAGATCGTATATTTAATAAATTGTAAATTTTAATACAGCTGACCAAAGCAATATGGGCTTTGTACCCCCAAATTGAACAAAACTTGGAGAAACAAAGGCAAGCTTGGAGGAAGAGCAACAATACAACATGCGGTCTAAAGCTGTTCTGAGAGTCTCAAGATGTCTATAATTTTTATTGTTGTTCTGGGGTTTAAGTGGTTTAACTTATAGTGTACAGTCATCATTGGTTATGTCCTTCATGAAAAGGAAATTCTGTTGAAAATTCAATTGATTTTTAAACAATTGCTTATATCTATTATTTGCCACGAAAAACATTTAATATCGCCTGGTAGACTGATACTGGGTTCTGTCAAGAAGGTACTTCAAAATAATTGACAGAATATACTTCAACGTGTAAAGAGTGTCTATAAAGCGTGCAGATGTTTTTGATTTGCATTGAAATATTTCTAAAAACTAAAACTGCAAACATTTGTACAATACCGTACCATCCTCTGGCTCCTGGCTCGTGTCCTTGCAAGCAGTCTGCAGGAAGTCGACTATTTACTTCTAAAGAATTCCGTTTATTTTCCTGCTCAGGACTCTTTTGACTCGCTTCAGCCATCCCAGACCATTAGGAAGGCCAAAAGCTAAAAATAAGGAGCGAAATTCATAATTTTAATCCAGAACAACGCTTTTAGAAATGTACTTTCGATAACAAATTGGATTAGTTTGGACAGCCATCTTGGATTTTAGTTCGGGAATGAACAGTCCTCCCCCCGGGAAATATACAAAACTAAGAATAAGACGGGGGAGAATAAAACGATGAAATAATCATTCATCTGTGACTGGTGTACGGATGCTTTATTATAAACTGGAATGTGAAAATTGTGCACTATGTTCTTCAGTTATTTCACGCCCTAAAATGTTCGGGTGGAATTGGGAACACCTTAATTAGCATTTCTCGCGCTCGGTTTGGGCGGCGATATTTTATCACTGTAGTTGCGTGTACAATGGTAAATTTACAGTTACAACGTCGCTTTTCACACTGCTTGATTCTCTAGATTCTCTGACGTGGAAAGACAGTACCCCAAAAATGGCAACTCATCAGTTTAGCGTTTTAAATAGTACATAATAAAATCCCTCGCGTGTGATATATCAAAGAAAATGCTTTATACACCCTTTTCATAAATGGCTGCCGATTAAAAATTCTTTTATGTGCATATAAATTGGCCCAACTAGCCTC